CGAATGCGTGGGCAGCGGGGCGAACAAAATGCCTTGCAAAAGGCGTTAAAAAATTCGCAAAGATCCAACGGAAGCAAGAAAAAAAAAACATGGAGAGGAGTTTTTTTTTCTTCTTTTTTTTGCACAGCGCAGTCTGGACTTTGGGTTCGCGCGCAAGAAGCGGAGAAACGCTCTAAGCGAACGAAACAGCTTGCGAAAGGCGGCAAAAATAAAAAAAAACATGGAACTAAGAGAAAACAAAAAAAGGGACTTTTTTTTTTTTTTTTGCACAGCGCAGTTTGGTTACGGGGGAGGGGGGGGGGGGGGGGTCGCGCGCCGCGCGCAAGGAGGTAAGAAAGAGGAGCGGAGAAGCCCTCTAAAGCTAACGAAACAGCTTGCGAAAGGCGGCAAAAATAAAATAAAATAACCCACGGAAATGAGAAAAAAAAAAAAGAAAAAGAGGAGCTTTTTTCTTCTTTTTTTTTTTGCACAGAGCAGTTTGGTTACGGGGGTCGTGCGTCGCGCGCAAGGAGATAAGAAAGATAAGCGGAGAGCCCTCCCCTAAGCGACGCCTAAACAAACAAAACAGCTTGCGCAAGACAGCAAAAAAAAAAAAAAAAAATTCAAGGAACTAAGAAAAAAAAACAGTTTTTTTTTTTTTTGCACAGTTCAGTTTGGTTAGGGGGTCGCGCGCCACGCGCAAAGAGATAAGAAGTTACTTTGATTTTTTAGGATAAAAGGTCGTTCATTGTGGGAGTTAATACCGAAGCAAAAATTTTACTCCCCCCCCCCCCCCCCCCCCCCCCCCAAACTTTGCCTTGATTTTTCGGAAAGAAAAGTGCGTTCATTCTGCGAGTAAATACGGTAATTGTCAGCTGATTGCGTTTTGGGCAGTAAAGGTGGTTGGGTTACGACCTTGGGATAACACTATGGAGTAGCACGAAACTCTTTGGAACTCTTTGGTCGGGGCTTTGGGGGAAGGTTACAGTCATCACAGGGGCTAACTTCCTTTCCTCTGGAGAACAAGAAGTTTTGCACAAAGTCTTTTCAAACTTGCAGGATTTGTTTCTAGAAGAGCAAGGCACAAAAAAGTATATTGAATTTATTTTACTCCCCAATACTTCACAAGGCACTATGAATTAAAATAAAAACTTTCGTGTTGGTTGCACAAAATTTTGCATTACATTTTTTCTTTCTTGCACCATATAATAATAGTTTGTTTCACATTTGCATTTTTGGAAAGAGAACTTTTCGTATGCTTCGGTACACCTAGTTGCAAAATTTGCGGCTAAACAACTTTTTTACTGACACCACCCTTTTTTCCTGCAATAGGAAACAGTTAAAGAGATGGTGAACCGAAATTTGGATTTAAAGAAAACAATTCAGGAGGTGTAGGCGGGACGCTGCAATCCCTGCAACATTACTCAAAGGCAATATCTCGAATGGACGGCCGTATTTTTGGAAAAAGAGGTCGAGATAGAACCAGGCCGACCAGGTGCGTGACGTCAAGATATCTTGTTTCCTCCTCTCTTCACTTCACCCCCTCAGGGCGACGAAGCGGAGAAGACGCGAAGCCGTTCTCTCTCCTTCTCGGAGAAACATGACGTCAACATATCTGTCAAATGCGCCTCCTTTTCTTGAAAAATACGGTCATCCGTTCGAGATATCGCTGTATGAGTGATGTTTTGGTGTTTTTAGCATCCCATTGTACGCTTTTGCCGCGTGTTTTGTGGAATCCAGATTTCGGTTCAGCATCCCTTTAAAGGGGAACTCTGCCGATTTTTTGGTACTCTTCGATTTGGCTGGAAATTGGCAGACCGCATCAATAACCCTTTCTTAATTGATAGCCAAAATGATTTTGGGAAAAATAAAATTTTTCTGTGAAGTTGTTGAATTTTAAAGTTACGATGGCCTCGAGGGTTTCAAGGGGCGACCCTCTACTGGCAACAATGAAAAATCTCTGCTTTTCCCTACCCGCGTACGTCATTGGCGGGCAGGCGGTTGAAAATGCAAAGTGGCTTTCTAGCCGCCGGCAATCGAGATTATTTTTCGCAGCTTCAAGGTTGAAAGTTCCTTTGCAATGGGTAGCAATCTGTGCTCTGCAGTAGACTGTAGGAACAGTGGCGGGAAAAAGCTTTTTTACAGCGGAGCTGTTAAGGGCTAGTTTCCCCAGAATGATGTCCCCCGCAAAAAAATGAAGACACCGAACTCTGCACAGCTACCGCGATCTATGAGCGACGGCGGCAATCCACGTATCTGGTTGCCGTCGTCGCTCATAGATGGTGGCAGCCTTTCCACTCTGGCTTGCTGACTTGCGGCCAGCCATTACTTTCCATTGTACGGCTCCGCTGGTCTTCCTTTTTCACCAGAGTGGAAAGGCTGAAAGTTTTTTTTTTTTTTTAACCCTTGTTTCTGTAGGAGTAAAAGAAAAAAAAGCATTCCCCGGCAGCAATGGAGGCCAGCCACGTCAAGGTGCTTTTGCGCAAGCTGTGTGCCGAGAGAACTAGTGTCACGTGAAACATTTACACTTCTGCTCGGAATACTTTATAGCTGCGTGCTGCGAGTTGGAGTATCCTTCAGCAGCTGGAACAGGTTCAAGAGCGACAAGCGCAAACTCAAGCCGGCTGTGACCATTACGACATCCGTCCAAAGAAGAGCGCTAATAATTTCGAGAAATATAGTACACAACTCTCACTATAGTCGACATTTTGCACAGTCAGATTTGTTATTCACAATTAGTTCAGTGATTTTTTTTTTTATAAACTTTATTACTGTTTTAGACATTGAATCTAGCTCAGCTTACTCTCGGGGTTCCACTCACGCGGCCGATATGTTGAAGACCAGAAGTGAAACATCTAAACAAAGTTCAAGCCTGAGTTTAGACATGACTTTCGACACATTGCTATTCCTGTCTGGTATTACAGAGGTTTGTGGAGCAGGTGTTGAGCTCCATTAATATACGATAGAGCCTTTGTCTGGTTTGTCAAAAGGTTGGCGTGCACTATTCTCTTGCAGAAGAAATGATGAAAACGTCTTTTATTTATTATATTGCAGAGAAATTTTATATAGGGCTGAAAAGGTTTTTTAAAACAATGAAATACAGTCGAATCTCGTTAATTCAAACTCGAGGGGAAATGAAAATTTGTTTGAATAAAGCAATGTTTGAATTACCGGGAGTTTCCTCCCATAGAGACGCATAGGACGGGACCTGCATGTTAGTTTTAATTATCCACAAGTTTAAATTAAGAGAGTTTGAATTAATGAGAGTCTACTGTTTGCATGGTTTTAAGGACTCTACTGTCCTTAAAACCATGCAAATTTAGAGCTGATAGAAACTGTGCTAAACCAAAATTTAGTTTAAAAAAATCTTATATAGAATTACCCCCTTCCCATGTGCACTCATGGATGAGTGTTTGAATACGTTGCATTCTACTGCGAAGAAAAAAAGAAAAGTATGAGTGCACAATTTTCTTTGGGTAACTTTTGTTAACTTGTTTTGAATTAAAAGATTTATAATGCATTTCTATACCTTACGCACTATTGTATCTTCAAGCAAATGCTCTTTATTTGAAGATGAACAGTGTATTTGTGTATTTTATATGCATTCCATTGCACCTTGATGTTTGACTTGGTGGTTGCGGAGTTCTTTTAATTGTCATTTTAACACGAATTTCATGACCTGCCATCTGGTCTACACGAATGCAGTTCATTCCATTCTATGCATTTTATTGTTTACGAGAATCCTAGTCTACATGTGTTTGGTCAAAGCCCAGCACGCGCATGTCCGCCGCTTTGGAAGGTGAGCAAAGTATGTGCCACAAGCACGAACGCTGAACATGGCACCGACTATAACCGCTTTTCTGAAATGGTCTATAGATCTTTTGCTAAATTACTTAAGCCCCAAGGAGGATATGCATGCCACACGAGTATTTACATGTGATGGCACCTGCAACAGTAACTTTTCTAAAGAAAATCTAAAACAAATGGCATGTTCATTCACATAGTGCGAGCGTGTGGAACACCTGTACCCACATTTCGAGTATTTTTCGTGGGGCTTTGGTAATTTGTCGAAAAAGCGTGACTCTTCGACCTTTCTTTGCCAGTCAGCTTCTGATAAAAAGAGAACGGATTTTCTACTGAGCCGCGGCCTGAGCGTACCAAGTTGCAAAAATGACTTTATCCAAATCCTTGCTTCAGGTTTTTTTTTTTTTTTTTTTTTTCTGATAGTTCAACTAGAGATTATCATCAACTTCATATTGCACAAACGCCTCTGTTTCCTCACTGTTTGACACGAGAAAACCGGGCGCAAACATACCCGATTGCCAGCCGCGCGCCTCGCTGCCCACCGGTGACGTCACGTTTGGATGTCGGGGATAACTGAGGAAAAACTGCGGAGGACTATGTACTATATTGGTTTCGGAAACAAACAAAATATAACTTTTTAAATTACTAGAGTGAATCTGGAGGAACGAGACAGCATTGCGGAATCAGGACGCCATCAGTATTCAGATGGTGCCTTTAGATTAGGTAGCCAAAAAAATTGGCGGAGTTCCCCTTTAAAGTGGGTTTGAAGCTTGAATGTAGGCTCCCAAAATTTAATTTACCATTCTGCATATCATGCAAGCAGCCAGTCATTTTTTCGGTAAAAGGCTAGCAGATAGCTAAGATCAAGAAAATGTTTGCATCCAAGGACTATATACAATCTATGGTGGAATTGAGAGATTGTGAAATATTGTACCTGATACATCACTGCAGGACTGGTTTGCGCTCCCGAGGGTTACCTGCCTTGCCAGTGACGCATGACTTCTGTTGATAGAAATGATCTCTGCATGCTTCAAGAAAATGTAGATGCACGGGATTTTTCGTAATACGGTCAGCGCTGATGTTTGGGTAGACTCTGTAGCCTTGGCTTTTGCAGCAGTCAAAAGGAAGTCAGCCGACTTCGATGGCTAGGTTAAATCAATCGCACTACGAACAGCAGAGGTGCACAAAGATGATGCAGTTTCTTTTGTGACCTTCAGGACGCCGCCAACAAGTTGGCATACGAGGTTGGGGTGAAGGTGTATGAACTGGCGGGCGGTGTGGGCGACAAGCCGAAAGTGCCTGCCTGAGGACCCTTGGCCGGACAAGCGTCCAGCGCACAAGGCAACGAGTGGCGTTGTAGTCTCAGCACCCGGACTTGGCCACTGGACAGTCACTTGCCACAGGAGTTGGTCTTGCTTTTGGGCCGCCCCTATTTTCCAACGAGTGTACGTTCCTCTTGACCGCTGTTTCCCCCAGCTAGGGGAGAGTTGTACAGCTTTCCTGGGGCCTCAGCAGTGGTCAACTGTTCCTAAGCCTAGTTTAGTAGTCTTGGCTGTCAAGCCTTTCAGGAGGTCCTCTTTCCCCTCTGTCCCTTTCCCAACGAGATTTGGTACCCTGCTAGTTTGGTAGCATACAGCAATTCAGCATTAGTCCCTAAGGGACCATAATCTTGTCTTTCCAGCAGCAGTGTGTCACGAGGGTCACAGAATTAATCATTGTTCACGCTTCAGAAATCTTTTCCTGCGGGGCTCTCGGGACTCTTCTTGATATTTAATGTTTTATAAACTTTTCACTGTTGGCTTCTGTGATAATCTGTTGTTGTTCTGGATGTCTCGGCACTGTTGTTGCGGTTGATCGTGGGGCACCGGTGTGTCATAATGTTTAAGCCACAATATTCCCATAAGTCTCAATCTTTGGTAGACTCTAGCGACTATTATAGTATTAGCCGGAAGAGTTGCATCACGCGGTTATTGCAGCTTTCCGGAGCAGTGTGGGTGAGGCGATAAAGCCATTTTATTTTTGCAGGATGACAATGAATTTGTAAAAGCTAAGCCACTGGTACTAATACTGTAAAATACCGTTGCCCTTCTTTCTGGCTGTCTCTCGGATTTTGAGGGCACAGATGCCATCTGAATCTTTGGCAGCCGTGGGTGGAAATGACACTCCCAACAAGGCACAGTTGTGTTTCTGCTCCACCACTCTTTGTAGGTGCTCCAACCAATCCACCGTATCCACTACCAGCTATGTGGTCTCTCTGACGAGACCATGCAGCATATGGCCAATTTTGTAAGTGAAGTTTTTCAATTCTGCCATTGGTACGAGCTCTGCTGTGATCATGCTGACATGCAGCGGAGAGTATGTGCCGGAGAGATAGTGTCGGAAGTTGCCAAGCCTGGGGTCTCCTGCGTTCCTACGCTTGCAATCTGACCCGTTCGCTCGGGCGGAATGCCCGCGCAGCCGTTTCGCAGACGGCCATCACCGAGCAAGTGCCCTCACTCTTATTTGGCCGTTTTCTTTATGTCCCAGAATCTGACCCTTGGCAAAACTGTGTGCTAAGTGGAGATGTGGTAAGACATTAAGTCTGGAAGGCCAATCTTCTCTGGTTGCTAGTGACTCGAGGTTTCTGTATGCTTTATCGAGAGACTGTATCTGTCCTTTCTAGAGGCTGGCGGTGCGAGAAAAGCTTCTCTGCAATAGGAGCAATAGAAGGTGCCGTGCAAGCTACCAATTGTGCTGCGACCTAATGTCGTACCTTGCTCGGTAGATTTTTAATGCTCTAAGCCAGGCAAGTTTTGGATAGCCCGTATGAGCGGGTGTTTTTACTGGGTGTGGTGCAAGGCTCCTCGAGCAATATTTTTTAAGTGGTATTCCAGGCAGGAAGAAAAAGCTGCAAAGGAATTGAATGTGATCTTACAAAGTCCCCTTGTGATAGGTAACCCTGCTTTTTGTATGCTTTTTTGTGTGATTATGGATCGGTATGGGACATTTTGATGACCACTTAACAGTAATATTTACTATAACAATGTTTTCTCAAGTCACAAAAAAAAAAAAAAGACAAACTTTTGGGCACGGCAGCTGTAGGGCAGTGTCTGCATTTGTTTATGTAATGGTATTGAGATGGTTTTTATTTATTTTATAGGTAGAGTATTTTGCTTCGAAAGTGAGCTTGTTTTTGGAAGGAGTATGATTTACATTGTTTAGGTAGTGTGGCTTCTTTGGTCTATTAATAAATACTGTTTTATTTTAATGCTGCACATTTTGTTTACTCCTGCGAGACTGCACAGAGCCTTGTGGTGTACCGTGCATGCTTTCAATTTGGAGCGGCGCATTCTGTCGCACTGGGCGTCTGCAGTATTTCGTGGAGTGTCTGCTATGGTAGTGCTGGCAGCACACACTGCCTAGAGCAACTGCATGCTCCGCTTGTCGCACTGGTGCACATAATGTTAAAAGGTTCGAGAAACTATCTTCGAGAACACAAAGTGAAAAGGCACTCCACAACGCCACTTCTCCACAGGCACTTTCGTTTTGATTGGGCACATTCACGACGTCAAGTGTCTCAGCATCGGCAAGGCTACGGCAAGGCCGGTGCGATTATGAGCTCCGCTTGGGCATCACTGCGTTACTGCCTCACCGTTTGGGACAGCGTTATTATACAGGGTGTTCCTCAAAACGTGAACCAAATCGTTCCTGCAAAAAAGTACTCATCGCACAAAAAAATAAAAAAGGTTAATGTAGCGTTGGTCTCTGCCAAGGGGCCCATTTAGGAAAATTAATAATGTTGCACATAATTTGTTAATTAGTTTTGAGTAATTAACTTTGTAATTATGGGAATTCATAGGTACTATTTCAATTATAAACTTGCTGAGGAACATCGAAAGCCATTAATCAACTTATTTTAGAAATATAGAATGCACATACAGAATTTTTTCTGACGTTCCAAAAAAAAAAAAAAGAAGCGCTTAATTTGAATGCATTTTTAGGTTTTGATTTTTTATCGGAGGGAATCTTGGCACTGACAGCCCCGTGGCCACCATGCCCATGGCCACCGAGGGAGGCGCAGCTACTGCTTCGCCTCATTTGGTGGAAAGGATCAAAGTCAGTTCCTAAAATGCCCTCTGCCTTTTGGTGGTGCTTGCGCTCGGTAGCGATTGCCACGCTATCGTGGTGTAACTGGTGGAATGTTGGATGCGCATTACCCGTGGTGAAAAATGATTCTATTGTGGTTTTTCTGGTGAACAAAGTTTCTGCAAAAGTTTGCCCAAAAAGAGCATCGTTAAAAAACATAATCTCCTTGTTGCATGTAGAGGCGTTGACGCTAGTGGCACTAGGAACACTATTTGCCCGAACCTGCTTGCAGGCAGGCAACAGAGAAGGACCGTTTGGGAACACCACTCTTCCGTGGAGCTTGCCAACTGATCTAGGAACGTTGAGAGTAACTGCCAAACACAGCGTTGGGCAACACATGTGGAGGCCAAGACCTGCGCACGGACACGTTACTACTAAAATGCAACGGGATTACAGTTACTATGAATTGCAATACCATCATTTTGGAAAAAAACGGTTAGGAAACTAATATGAAAGACCAATTTGACGAGACAGTTTCAGGCGGCTGTGCTGGGGTCCCCTTGGCCCAGATTGCTTGGGATGAGGGTCTATATGAAGCTTAGTTCTGTTCTCCCCGCCAATCTCCACATTCCTCCGCTTCCCAAAAACATGCATCCGGAACACCACCCAGACCACAGGAAAGCTCGAAGCGCGGCACTCCACAAACAATACGGCCAGCTTGAGGGCGTCGTGTACACGGACGCTGCAGACTATCCCCACCCAAAGGCCATGACCATGGTCGCCATCGACGGCCATGGGGTCCCCCTCTCCGGGGGCTCCATCCGAACAACCTATTCGGAAACAGCGGAAGAGCTCGCTATTGCCATGGCCCTCCTTGTCCCCAACACTCAAACAATCATATCGGACTCTAAACGCGCAATTCTTAACTTCGCGAGGGGCAGGGTTTCTGAGGCTACCCTCACAGTTCTAACACGCTCCTCCAAAATTCCTAATGGCATGGTCAGTCTAATCTGGGCCCCGGCTCGTACCTCCCTCCCCGGAAACGAAGCCATCCATACCACCGCCCGAGAGCTGGCATACCGGGCACGGGGGGCAATGACGGGAACAGGTGACGAGCCGGTCAGTCACAGAGACGCACTGAGCTCGTACCAAGAAATTACGCAATCATATAGATCAGCACGCACGACCCTTCCTGCGGGACACAAATTGCTAACCAAGAGCCAGGAATGGACCTGGCGACGACTCCAAACAAACGCATATCCAAATCCTGCCCTTTATTCAGACTGGTTGCCAGACCTACACTCGGAAGTATGCAAATTCTGCTCCTCGCGAGCTACACTATCCCACATTATGTGGGAGTGTCCGAATTCCTCCCTTAAGGACAGGATGCCATTCGCAGGCAATGATACGGAGCAGTGGAACGCGCCGATGCACAGATCAGAAGCGGACGTCCAGAAGGAAATCTGTGACTGGGCCGAGGAAGCTGCCGCGGTCTGGGATTTGCTACCCTCCCCCTTTTCTGCTTCATCGTAGAGGAGGACATGGAATGGGCCCTGGACAACACGTCTCTACACGTATCGGCTTGACCAAGTTGTGTCCTCCTCCTATTCTCCCTCCCCACATTAAGTGCCTCTAGGCTCTGGCCAATATGAGCGATGCGAGTCGAATTGGTATTGTAGATTGTGGAAGACCTCTGTTATTTATTATGATAAAACATTCTGTTCACGGTAATGAATCTTGTATTTCGGAGGAATTGGGGGTTTTCACAATAGTCAATATTGGCATGTTTGGTCTCTGAATCGTATCATAAGCTAGAGTAGTATTTGGGTCAATACACTGCGTGACTAGAAGATGAAGCATTCCATGTTGGAGATTGCTTAATTTGAACGCTAAAAATGTGTTCAAATTAAGCGTTTTTTTTTTTTTTTTTTGGAACGTCAGAAAAAATTTTGTACGTGCATTCTATATTTCTAAAATAAGTTGATTAATGGCTTTCGATGTTCCTCAGCAAGTTCATAATTGAAATAGTACCTATGAATGCCAATAATTACAAAGTTTATTACTCAAAACTAATTAATAAACAAATTATATGCAACATTATTAATTTTCCTAAATGGGCCCTTTGGCAGAGACCAATGCTACATTAACCTTTTTTTTTTTTGTGCGATGAGTGCTTTTTTGCAGGAACGATTTGGTTCACATTTTGAGGAACACCCCGTATAATAACGCTGTCCCAAACAGCGAGGCTGTAACACAGTGATGCCAAACGGAGCTCATAATCACACCGGCCTTGCCGTAGCCTTGCCGGTGCTGAGACACTGGACGTCGTGAATGTGTCCAGTCAAAACGAAAGTGCCCGTGGAGAAGTGGCGTTGTGGAGTGCTTTTTCATTTTGTGTTCCCGAAGATAGTTTCTCGAACCTTTTAACATTATGTGCACAAGTGCGACCAGCGGAGCATGCAGTTGCTCTAGGCAGTGTGTGCTGCCAGCACTGCATAGCAGACATTCTGCGGAATACTGCAGACGCCCAGTGCGACAGAATGTTATGTGAATTGGTTTGAAATGTAAGAGAGGCTTACATATTTTTTTTAATTATAGGAGATTGAATTTGCATTCAAAAGAAGACACCATGCCAAGTCTTTGACAGGCAATGCAATTTATTGTAACATTGTTTCCTAGTGAGAAATCAACATAATGTACATGTACACAAATACACAACACTGAGCTAACCAACTAGTCTGCTGGTTGGCATAAAAATACCGGTGAATGGAATAGCATTTTTACTGCACTGAAAAATAACCGTACATAAAATGCTCTTTGCGACTGAATCCACCAAACCAGTGACATTATACGCACAAACGTTAAAAGTTTACAGTGCTACTGCCGGAATGTGTCGGACACTCATATATACATACACATGCAATAATATGCAACACACAAAACAACACAGGAAAGCAAATGGTAAAATTCTATATGCTCGCTTTTTTTTTATTTGTGGTGCTCGGATGAGCTGCTTGTTTTCTCTCGCCATCTTTATAAAGTCTTCACAGCCGTTCACCAAATCATACCAAACACAGAGCTCCGCTTTAACCACTGGAATGCTTAGCTGATTTCTTTCATCCGTCCATCAGTTCCCCATCACGCTAACGACGTGTTCCACAAATGCGTTGCCACAGGGAATGGAGAAAGCATGTTCCGTTAGGTTCTGCAAATGGGGGCACCTGACCTCTTTCAAGAATTTGAGCCAGTTCAAACACGATTTCTCATCATGTCCTAGAAGTCCATGGAGAGTAACCTTCAAAAGACAAATCCCTGAGTACAATTCATCGCCTTCCTCTTCAAAGTTTATGCCAAAAAGCTCTGCCGCATTCGTTACGACTGATATCATGTATCATGTATGCCGATGTAATCATGTATGCCGATGACCTGTCCCTTCTTCAGCCAATCTGCTCTGACAGCTTCTACCAAGCCCTTCAGGACGACCTCGACCAGTGCTTTCGCTGGTCGGCCGAAAACAAATTACCCTTTAACTGCTCTAAAAGTGTTGCAATGACATTTGCTATCTCTTCCAAAACTTCGAAAACTACAAGTCAAGCCTCAAACTTAACCCTGGGTGGCTCACTACTAAAGCATGTGCCCTCCACAACCCTCCTTGGTGTCGTCCTGGACAGCCGCCTCAACTTTGCCCCCCAGGTCCACAGCGCCACATCGAAAGCAAGACGCATGCTGGGCTTTGTCACTCGAGTCACACGAGGGATGACACCTAACACCTTCCGCCATCTTTTGCACTGCACTGGTGCTGCCCCACCTAAAGTATTGCTCTGCGGTGTGGTACCCCCAGCGAAAACATCTCCAAACCACACTACAAGGCGTGCAACGGTGTGCCGCCTACACTTACTATCGCCGCAGTGTTTCCCCGCCGTCAGTCCCACTCCCCTACAGAGAAGTACCCTCTAGTGACCTCCTGAAGACTGCTGCCTGGAGGAGCCTGCACCAGCGACAGCAAGTAGCATCTGTCCAGCTGTTCTGCAGGATCATGGGATCAAACCAACAGGAACTTTATGATGCCCCCAGAGTGAACAGAAGAACAGGTAGACTCCAGCCCGTGATTTCCCGAACATTACGGCATGGGGAGTCCTGCCTGCTGAGGGCAGCTACGCTTTGGAGGGGGCTCCCCCCAATCCTCACCGAACACATTCCCTCTGATCCCCAAGAGGCGAAAGAAGTAGCTCAGACACTCTTCTGTGACCCCTCTAACGGTGTTTAAAACTTTTCCCCCTATACTTCTAACTTAATTACCTAGTTTTTTTATTTATTTATTTCACCATTCTCTACAACCTATACATGTTGTAAGAGTGCACTAATCAATGTTGTAAGCACACTAGTTTTTTTGTGCTTTTTTTATATTCTGTACAAATGTATATATATTGTAAGAGTGCATAGGTCGGTGTTGTGGGCACACTAGTGCATGGGCGTCAGCCTTCCCCCAACACCAGCACGCCTGTACATTTCTACCTGTCAAGTGCAATAAATAATATCAATATCAATAATATCGATATGCTAAGTGCATCTTTCCGGAGGTCCAATTCAGCAAGCACCTTAAGTGGGGAGTTCTCAAAGTCGAACCACCTTTCAAGGTATGCAAGGGCCCTGTCGTAGACATTCATGAAGTCCAGCTTTGCAATTTGTCCGTCCAGGATTTCCAATCCCTAATTAGCCTTGACACCGAGGAACATATCCTTCCAGTTAATCAGCTGCTTCCTGAGCTCAGCCATTACAGCGTAAAGTTCTGTTGGCTCAAGCTGACTCTTTTCGAGGGTGACGATCGCTGAATGAAACATTGCAAGGACTGAGTGCTTGAAGAGCAAGTAGCACTCCGGAAGCACGAAGCACTCCAAAAGTCCTTCGACTTGGTTGCCAATAAATCTCCAGATTATTTTTTCGCACTCCTCCTTGCTTTGACTTAGAAAGTAGGACTTGATGGGCGCCCAGTTCTTAATCAGTCTGTCTAAGAACGTAAACAAGTTTATCCAACAGACAGAAATATGACCCAGCACTTTGCTACATTCCTGATCACAGAAGTCGAAAAACTACTTCAATTCCTCTACACATTTCGAGCTAGAAAATTTTGTAAAGATCTTTAGTACAAGGGTTTCCACATCAAACTTTAAAGACTTCACTGCATGCTTGGCAGCATTGTGCACAACATGGCAATTGCAATTCGCCTTCAAGTTCGGCTGATCTTTCTGCATCTTCTGGAAAACAGTTATGTTTACCATAATTCACAGAAGCGTTATCCGCACTATACGCAACAGCTCGCCCCAAAGAAAGACCCACCTTCTCCAAACTTGTTGCCAAGAGTTTGCAGATGCCGCCGGAAGTCTCGTCCGCCTGCTCACAGAAGTTGAGAGTGGTAGAGGTGCACGGCGATGGGGAAAAGATTTCTATTTCCCTTGTTGGAGGCGTCTGTGGAGAGAGCAAAAGGAAGGTTGCGGCCTGCTGGGCGAAGTTTCTCGACTATGCACTCCACCGCGTAAGGCGCCAGCACATCGAGATATTCCATCTTCGTTCTTCCAAGTCACATCCTGGAAGTGATGTCCGAATCCGGGAAGACTTGGTGCCAACTTGCTGCCACAGAGAGGGAATTTTAGTTGTGCTTGATCCCGTGGAATATGGTGCTCAGTTCTGCAGTCTTCTGCGCTAGAAGTCGCTTGAGCAAAGAACTTTGTGAGCGCAGCCGATTGTTTCGAGCAGCGGCGTAAATCCCAGGGGGGTCAGGGGGGTTTGGTTCCCCCGTGTTTGATGAGGGGGGGGGGGGGGGGGGGGTGGACACCATGCACAAGTCTCCTCCCCCCCCCCCCCCCAAAATTACACTGGCGATCCCCCCCTTGTCAGTATCGAAAGGTCAGAGAAGACCAACACAGATGCGGGAAAGCAAGGAGGGACTTGAGCCTATCTTATCCTCCTCATCGAAGAATGGCTTCATCCAGTTTTCAACAGAACTTTCTCATAATAAGAATTGCAGAGAAAAAGGGATACTACAACGAAATTTCGGCGCTTATTTTATGGTCTATATGTGTGTTCAAAAGAACAGTATCACATCGAACACACCAATCTCTTGTGAAAAAAGTCAGGAAAAGGAATTTTAAAACGAATTAAACGATTAGCAGAGAGCACCTGGTGGATGTCGCTAACGCCTCGTTTGTAATGCCTGTCTAGGAACCTTGACAGCTAGTGACGTTGAGTGTCTCGCCTCCGGCCACGACAAGAGAAGAGGGGAAGGAGGAACTCCCCTCTTTCCGAGAATCCCTTTTGTGTGTTCCAGAAGTAGCTATTGTCTCCCTACAAGATTATAAAAGATTAACCCATCACTCAAAATTCATACAAAAGCAGCTGCTTCTGTGACTGGAATGACTAGGCCATCCTCTCGACGCCAGCCTCGCGGTAGCTTTGCTCGTCCCGAGACGACCTAAGTCACGATTGCGTCGGATGTCACGTGCTCTAAGCTGAGCCTTCTCTGAGCGCTTGCTAGAGTGAGCCGTTTATAACAAAATATACAGCCACCAGGCTCAAAATACAAACGTGCGATTGTCATTTACGGATATTGTGGATCATATTCAACCTATTTTTGAACATGACGGATATATTTCAAATTTCGTTGAAGTATCCCTTTAAGGCACTGTCACAAATTCAGGCGTTTCTTCTTTTAGAGCGCAGCTCTTAGGTGGCCGTTTCCGGCTCGAGCGGCGTCAGTGTCGTCGTCGTCGTAACCGCGCGGTGCATTATGGGAAACGTCCCATAATGCAACGTGGTGATGTGCGCGAGTGCATTAAGGGACGTTTTCCATAATG